TGGCTGTATTTTAATGAAATTTTATCTGTGGATACTGAAATGTGAATTTCATAAAATTTTCACACATGAAATGTTATTTTGATTTTCTTTCAATCACATGAAAATGTGAAAACCACTATTGAAGACTGTAAAGAAAAAATAGGCAGTGGACTGTATTTGCCTGCGAGCCAGTTTCCAGCCCCTGCTCCACGTATCCGTGGCATTGGAACAGACCGGTACCGCCAGCCAACTCTGAAACCAACAGTCCTGCCTAATAGGAAAGGATCGTTGTGGTCAAAGTATTCTTGGATCATAGGTGGCCCAAAATAGGAAAGATCAAATGGATGATAACACATTTATTAATTATCAGTTTTCATCTCCCCTGATTCAAGAGATTCTGCTTTTAAGTTGGTTTCAGCATAAATGTAGACTGTTTCCCTCCCCCCAAATAAAATTATTGCAGTTGTAAAAACGAGTTAAGATCATGTGCCCTTTTAAGACAAATGTATCCATAACTGATACAATGTTTCCAACCTTTTAACAACAAAGTTATCAATTTTATACTCCAGTGACATGTAATGTTAACTTTTGTGCATTTATTTGCCTTGCCTCTAGCTTAGTACCTGGTGATAAAATAGAAAATGGATTCTAAGTCAGGGTTCCCATGGCCCAGATTCCAGTCACCTGCGGGTATTTGTTACATTTAGGTTTCCATACTCCAATCCAAATATCCTAAATCCTCATGATCCTTATCTTTAAACGTTCCCACACCTGGGGCTCACCAACAGGGATCTGGAGTTGAGAAGCCGTTGCCTTTACAATTTTAAATGGTTATGAAAATTACTTAAACTACCAATTTAAAGACAATGCAGACATGTTACACTCTAAAAGATCACTCCTATAAGTATACACTGCATTGAGAAAAGAGAAACTGACCTTGTTTTCAGATGTGTCTTTAATACAGCAAGCATGTCCTAAGACAGGGTAACCATATCCAACAGGTTGGCTGGTCACCATCGCATAAGCAAGGAAACTAGGTCCCCCTAGCGTTCAGTCTTTATAACAACTCTGAAGGTGCAGAACAAGAAAAGTGGCAGAGAACTCACAACGTCGCTTTTCACGTAAAAACTCTCACACCCAAATCAAAATGACTTCAGTGACTATCAGTTTCCTGGAGGGGAAATTAGGCAACAAACCTGATATCCCAGACCGTTTCACCAAAGATTATTGAGAGAAAATACAAATTGTGGCCATGTATATGTACCATTTATATGCCTTTCCAGCAATTCAAGAAAAGAACAACAAGCACACCAGCAACTTACTATGCAAGAATTCAACCAAGCTGGGAGGGGTGGCTCGCACCTGTAATCCCAGCACTGTGGGTGGCCGAGGCGGGAGGATCGCTTGAGGCCTGGAGTTCGTGACCAGCCTGGGCAACACAGAGAGACTCTGTCTCTACAAAAAATAAAAAAATTAGCTGGGCGTGGTGGCAAATGCCTGTAGTCCCAGCTACTCTGGAGGCTGAGGTGGGGGGATCACTTGAGCCCAGGAGTTTGAGGCTGCAGTGAGCTATGATGGTGCCCCTGCACTCCAGGCTGGGTGACAGAGCAAGACTCTGTCTAAAAAAAAAAAAAAAAAAAG